TGGGCCCCGCCAGCTGGAGCAACTCGTGTGGTTGTTCCGACGACCGGACCACCTGTGTCGTGATTGCAAGCGGCGTGAGTAAAGTTTTTTACAACCAATAAGTTGTGTCAGCCTCTCCATTCACCAGCCCGCCCTGACGTACGAGCGTAACTCGAGTCGGCCCTGGCCATCTGAGACAGAGGCAACAAGCTTCCTTGCCCGACCCTGCTCTGTCCTGTCATGCCGGGTCTCACCCGCCGGGCCACAGAGGCTCAAGGGGAGGGCAGTGGGGCAGGGAGCCCAAGCCCACAGTGAGCAGCCTGCCCCTGCACACAGATCTGTGAGGCACGTGACCCCCTGTTCCCCCAGGAGTGTGCACAGTGGTAGGGAGCTGCCCCCTCCCCTCCCTGCATCCCCTGGACCAGCTGCTCTGCGGCCCTGTCCCGCTCCCCTCTGGGGCTTTGTGCTGTGCATTATGGCCCTGGGCCCCAAACCCCTGCCCTGGGCAGTGCCCCCCCTGACTTAACTGCAAGAGCTGCTCTCCAAGCTGCCTAGTGGCCGCGTACACATGTGAGCGTGCATGTGCACATGGTGCCCCCTGCCTGACCACCCTACTCCCACTCCCCCCAGCCCCTTGCAGGCTGGAACTCTGCCAGCTTCAAAGAGTTTTTGTAAAAGAGCAAAATCTGCATGCAACTCTGTTAACACAAAACAATACATGTTTTTATCAGGTAAAAGGGAAAAATATGTGGTTTTTCCCCATTTTCCCATGGGAACCAGAAAACCCAAATTCCTGCACATAAGACTAATAGGCAGGAAGGCTACTGCTGACCCACCCCTTTGGTTATCACTTCACTTGGGTGTAATCAGTCATAGGTATGTTTAGCTGGGTCAGGATTCTAGTTACAGGACGGCAGTGCAAGTATATGCACAACACAGACAAACACACCACCCATCATGACACAGAAGTTGCAGCACTTCTCTGATTTTTACAGTTAAGATATTTCAGGGTATGTATGTGTTTGCTGCTCCAGGTTGCAGTGTAGAGTAAGAGATGTTTGCTTTTTTCCCCATGCTTCTGGGCTTTGCTGGTTACCACGCGGGGCCAGGCAAGCATTTTTCCCCTTCCTTGTAGCTACAGGTGTCTAGAGGTCTTTTTCTGGCTTCCTCAGAAGCTTTGGGTGTTGACTGCAGCTAAAGCTGGGAATTTTACCTGGTGTGTGTTCCTGCTGCTGGGACTAAAACCTGGAGGTCTCTGGCTTAGAGGTTCTTGCTCCTCTTCTCAGAATCAGTCCGAGTGCCCAGATTGGGTGGACGGAGGGTTTTGCCTTGCTCTGTGGCAGGGTACATGGTCCTCTTCCTTGGACCTCTTGAGTCTTTTTAACAGCTAGTTCCTGTCCTGGCATTGGAAGGACACTGTCAGTGCCCTTGTTCCCCTGCTTTGCCTGTGACAAATTGGAGTCTTTTCATGTCCTGGTCAGCTGTCTAACCCTGGAGATACAGGAACTCGACAGCTCGCCTCTCCCATGCCTTGAGTTCAGGGGGTCCTCAAACAGTTTCTGCAAGTGCCTGGAAATGCCCTAGTTCGAGTAGTTCAGTACTCTCTAGAAGTCATGTACTCCTATGATCCAGCAGCTGCTTGTGCACTTCTACATAAGAGGAACCTTCCCCACCACCCCACAGTCACCGTGTAAAGAGACCCACAAGCAGGGACTGGAGCAGAGGAGCTCACCCTTCAAAGTAGGAGTCTTCACCATCAGGTCTCACAAATTGAAACTTGCACTAGAAATGCAAGAGCTCAACTGGAGGCACTGATAGGTCTACTCAGAAGAGTCAAGTAGAAGGCAGTCTGAGAGCTGGAGATCCAGGTTTCAATGCCCTCCAGCAGACCCTCTAGTCAGATCATTAAGCCATTGGAAGGCATTTGCTGCTTAGAAGAAGCCCTGCTCCACTCTTGGAGAATTTGGAGGTGCCAGACCCAAGGATTGCTGTCCAAATCCTAGGTGCATAGGTTCACTTAGGACTCAGCAAGGGCAGGATTTTAAATCCCCCTTACAACACTGGTTCTCAACCTCTATAGAACCAAGGCAGCCCTCTTATGTGTTTTTTAAAAATGTTTTAAGTGTGTTAATTGGTATACCAACTGCTAAATGTTATACTATTAGTTTATAAGTTGAATTGTGATGGTTGTTGTCAGTTGAACTACATCATTATGAGATCATATTCACCCCACTGCCACAGCCAGGTGGAACAGCACCACACACCTGCAGAAGCAAATCTAGCAGGAGCATATGCTCTGGCTGCAGTCCTTCCATACCTGACCAAACATAATATCCCCAGGAAACAGAAGCAAGCAAAGTAGGTGGAACTATCAGATGCACCTCTTCAGGGGGTACATTAGAGCCAAACTGAGAATCAGCTGTAACAAAGACACTGCCTGCATTACATTTTGTAGGCAGACAAGCCATTTCTGCTACAGCAGAACTAAGCCAGAAAAGCACCGTAGAACCAGATGCTGCTGCCACCCAGTAGAACTGTCCCACATGCCTTATCAGGGAAGAGCTGCAGTAGTAACATAGGGATGCAGGTAGTGCACCTTTCTGCCTCATTTCAGCTTTAGTACCTCCTGAAAACAGAGGGGGGGGGGGGGGGGGGGGAGAGGGGAAGAAGTTCCACCTAGCAGCAGTATTGCCAGCATCCTAAAAATCCCCCGCCCCTCTCTTCCCCCAGCAGATGCAGTACCCTAGGATGCTGCATGAACCTTGACTGATATTCACTGGTTTACAGACTGGACTTGTGAAACACCTGTTCCCCGTGCTAGTTCTTTTGAAGCCCATTCTGGGACACCCATGTGGCATGTGATCATGGATATGAAATATACTAGATGCATAGACTAAGCACTTCAGATTGTTCAGTCCTGCAGTGACCCAATCTTTTACTGGATTGGCCCTCAAGTACTTCTTTCATGGTCTAACTGGGACACAGAGTAGGAGGGAGGAAGGAAGGAAGGTAATATACTTAATTAAAATGCAGCTAGAGTTCAAGCCCCATTCTGACTCACTGAACATCACAATGTCCCTCTTCTCAAAGAGGTCTCTTTAGAGCCAGGGGCTGCACATCGTTTTGCCCTGATGGAGGAGGTCAAGGAAGCCCACTTCTATTGTTGCTGGTTGAACTAAGCAGTCTGAAGTGAAGACAAACAAGTAGTAAGCTGTATAGAAATAAAGTATTTATTGTGGCTTGCAGGAGTTGGTTACTCCTGCTCCAATTCTTCAGTCTTTAGGTTAGAATACTCTGCATTTAATTCTCTCTTTTCCTTCTCGATCTCCTCTGAGGGCACAAGGGCACCCACTACTGTCTGCAGCTCTTCATGATAAGGATATGGCCTCCTCTTCCTCCTCAGTCTTGGCACCTTACTGTGATGGTATGAATGGAACAAGGCCAGGCCCAAAGCAATGACCCCTCCTACAAGGAGGGCTGCAAGTAGACAGCTGCCCACAAAGGCTATCGCCGCCAGCACGAGCTTCTTCATGGTGCGGCATTGTGCTAAGGGGAGAGAAAGACTCAGGAATGGCTTCTAGGCCCAGTTGAACAGAAGATGCCCTTGGAACTATGCAAGCTACTTGTGTGTGGGAATTCCCACACAAGCAGAAGACTATAAAAAAAAGGGAGCTTGCAGCACCAAAACGCTTATATCCTGAAAGAAGTAGGGCAGTCTTGATCATCAGAAAGACTCTGGAGTCTAATCCAGGATCACTCGCACCTCCCAGTGCAGACTCCATTAAGTCTATTTTACACTCACCTTCATACCATGGAGCCTCTTCCTTGTGCACTGTCAAGGGACCAACTGTTTTTCTATGGAGCATCCCTTCACCTGGAAACTCTAGGCAAGAAGGATACAGACTTTTGTATCTACCTTTCAAGCCTCTCATTACTTAGAGGTAGCCCATGGAGCCAGAGGGCAACTGCGAGACCCAGCCTACAGGTTTCACCATCTTGTCACCTGCAGGTTGTCCCCAATACCCACCTCACAGGTGCACTGAAAAAAAATTAGGTTAGTCACCTCTGGGTAGGTGACTTTATGCCTTCCAGAACCTTTGTTAAGGACATGGATGTATTAAGTGTTGGACAGCCAGTCCAAAGGAGTATTATCTCCAAAGCAGGAGCATCAGTGAGTGGTTGTTCTATGGCCACTCTTCCCAACTAAGAAATTGCAAAGCCCCCTGGAAAACTGTCAAGAGCAAGTTTCCTTAACATTATACCAGTCTTGTGGGAGGGACAGCAGCAGCAGTGTAATACAGCCCACTACAACAGAGAATAAAGATGCTACGTTCTCCTCCAACCATACCTAGACAAGCGTAGGGGCACCGTGTCAATACCCTACCTGCCCCAGGTCAGGGTCTTCTAGAATTGCCACCAGTAATGAGAATACTACTTCCACAGCCAGGAATCTAGAGCCTACAGGAACACATCACCACAGCTGCCTGTGCTCACCAAGGGAGGCAGAACTTGTGGGTGCACAAAACAGAGTGGATGTAGTGTCCCAGTACCTTGTTCTTCTGGGGAGAAGTCAAAGGGGCAGTGACTGTCACAGCAGTTACACAGGTCATTCCGAGATGGATCCTCCAGGTTTTGCCAGCTGAAGTGGAAGAGAGGGAGGATGGTCACCAGCAAGGACACCGGTGCAGAGTCCAAGGGGAACTAGAAAAAAAGTCCCTCAAACTATTGCCGACCCACACCTGCAGGTCAACCCTAGAGGTATGCACCCACCCTCCCCCATTCACATTATAGCTTCTCTGCAGAGTTTTCTAGTGATTGCCAGCTGTGATGGAAGTTTCCATGTGGCAACCTGACCTCTGAACTCCATGGAAAGCTACTACTGAAAAGGGACCAGACCCCTTGTTAACACCTCAGCCATTTGGCACCATTGTGGACAAGCAAGCAAAAGGGGCTGAAGGAAAGCAAATGAGCCAAGCCATGGTGGTTCCCATTTAAAAATACTCCCCCCCTCTCACACAAGTTCCAGCTTGTCATTCCTAAATATCAGTGTTCAAGCAGCTTCCTACTGGCAAGGCTATAACAAAGCACCGGCCTCTGTTCCTTTCCCAAGAACACCCTCACCAGTGACAAGCATTTTTGTTTCAGCTTCAAATAGCTTCTAAGAGTTGAGCTAACCTGGAAGAGGCAGTGTTGTAGTAGCAGGATTTCTTGACATGTCTTGAGAGGGTCCTTTGGCCCCAGGCAGTCATCAGGCAGTGGATATAGATCTGTCAAGAGGAGAAAACAGATTGCTTTTGTTGTTATTAAATACAGCCAAAATTGAATTCAAACAGTTACTACAGGAGAAGTTTAGTGGCAACAAGATAGGAGTTCATATAGGACTAAGATGAGCTTAAACTTAAGGCTGGTCTCTGGCATGGAGAATTACCCAGCCTAACTGGACAGGGCATGGGTGTCAGCTACTAGATCTGCACAGCAAGGAGGCTGAGAGGGAGGTGAAGTCACTGGGGAAGTAGAACAAGGCTGATGCAGACATGAGCTCCGAGGAAGTACTTCAAGAAGCTGGTACCTTTGGATTACTGGAGAATTAGTGCTTCAGCTTTGGTGATCCCGCTAAGCAACTAAAGCTCCTTCGACCAAGAGGAAGCCTAGTACAAGAATAGACTTAAGTTTCAGACTAGCACTTCCAAGTCTGGATACCACAAGCCTTTCAAAGTTGACATCTTCCTCAGTTGCATAGCCACAGGCAGCTCCCTGCCTAGGTAACAGAGGGTGGTGGTGGTGGTGTGGGGGGG